TCTACATATCTGATATTTACAATACAATTCACAACAGTAGTAAAATTACAGTTATGAAGTAGCAATGAAAATAATTGTATGGTTGGGGGTCACCATAACATGAACTGTGTTAAGGGGCCATGGAATTAGGAAGGTTGAGAACCACAATAGTAGCAGTATGAGCAGAGCCAGCCAGCAGCTGGAAAAAGGGGGCTCTTCCCATGAGATTCCAGGAAAAGAAACCACCAGTGGCTCTCAGGGGGGAAAACTGCCTTAATTCCCAAACCACAGCCCCACATCACAGGAAACATACAAACACAGAAAGAATGGGAAGTGATTAAAAACTGCAGTGGGCTCAGCTGCACTAGAAGGAGTATAGATTTAAGTGCAATTCTATTTTAATGTTTAGATGCCGGAGATTTAAAATGGCAGTTTTTAATGTTTTCAACCAAGAGAGAAATAATGATGATAATGTGGTTTTTTGAGACAAGGTAAAACAAGGGGTGTGCCTACACTGTAGAATTAATGCAGTTTGACACCACTTTAACTGCCATGGTTCGATGCAATGGAATTGTGGGAGCTCTAGTTTTAAAAGGTTGGTTTTTTAACCTTCTGTGCCAAAGAGTGCAAGTGCCTCACTGAAAGGTCAGCTCCCAGGATTTCATAGCATTGAGCTATGGTGCTTCTTTACAAGTGGTGTCAAAACAGCATTAATTCTATTTGAATCCAGGGAGAGTGCAGATGAGCTCCCTCTGTCAGCTCCAGTGCCCCATGCAGGGACATCACAGAAGCCTCTCACAACGGTGGTAAAACATTAAAACATATGAGCATCCTCTGGGCAATGTCCTTGCAGACTGCCAATTCTCTCACACCAGAAGCAACTTGCAGTTTCTCAAGTCGCTCCTGACAACAACAAAAAAACATTAATTCTACTGCATAGATGCACCCAAGGTGCTTCCCTCCCCTGAAACTAGTCTGTGCCAGCTGGAGTGGCAGGTCCTCTCTTCCCAATCAAAGAAGAGTAGAAGGATAATGTGGATGACGCTAAGATGATTGTGACAGCAACAGTAGGAGCAGAGTCAGCCAGCTGCTGGGGAAAAGGGTCCTTCCCAGGAGACTCCAGGACAAGAAAGCACTAGTAACCCCCCTCTTATCTTCCAGAGAAATAAATTGCCTTAATCCCCCCTCCCTTCCGCACAGGGCCACATTTACTATGTGGGTGCCCTGTTGCCCTTTGCCACTCCTCACTCTAGAAAGCAAGACAGACAGCCCCCCTCCCAGGCTCCCACAACCCACTGGATCGGTTTCATAGCAATCATAATCCTCCCCGGTAAACACACACGTCACTCACTGCCTGCATGCACCAAGCCTCGCCTCCTGCCATCTCAATGGAGAGAGAGAGCGAGGCGCATCCATCCATCCACCTACCTTCTCCCTTCTGTTCTCCCTCCACAACCGTCCTGTCCCCAGATGTCACAAGTGTCACCCCAGCCCTTAAGTCTTGAAGAGTGGGGCTATCACTAGTTTCTCTCCTTTTCAATCCAAGGAGGATTGCCCTCTGGAGCAGGGGAGAAACAGGCTCCAAGGTCTCTTATTAGGTGTAAAATCTATGTGTAGCTGTAGAATAGATGTCCTCAAAGACAGACTCCACTCATAGAGGTTTGTAATTTATTTATACAGAGTGGAGAAATCCTCTGGACTGGAGTAAAGGAGAAATCAGCTCCAACTTGAGGCTGTCGCTTATTTCTCCCTTTCTCCTTTACAATCAAAGGAGGACTGCCCTCTGGAGCAAGGGAGGAATAGGCTCCAATGTCTCTTATTAACACCTATATAGGTGTAAAATTGATGTATATCTGTAGAAGAGACGTCCTCGAAGACAGACTCCACTCGTAAAGGTCTGTTTATATGGAGAGGAGAAATCCTCTGGACTGGAGTAAAGGAAAAATCAGCTCCAGTTCTGTTCTCTGTTCGGAACTATGTAGGTGCAAAATGTATCTGTATATGGAGGGGGAGAGCTCTATTACCAGTCATATAGTCTTGCAATGCATTGTTATTATCGATAATATCAATTCTGTTCTCTGTTTGTAACCTTGTAGGTGCAAAATTATCTGAAGGGAGAAGGGTCTAGTACCAGTCATATAGGGTTGCAATTTATTATTATTATGTATAATCCCAATTCTGTTCTCTGTTCGCAACCATGTAGGTGCAAAATGTATCTGGGGAGTGGGGGAGGTCTATTACCAGTCATACAGGTGTGCAATTTATTATTACTATGGATTAAGATAATAATAATAATACTTTATTTCTAACCCGCCCTCTCTCCACAAAGGGACTCAAGGCAGCTTCCAAAGACAAAAATGGCAAACATTCAATAAGAGAGATCCTCTGGAGCAGAGGAGATATAGGCTCTAATTTTGCTCTCTACTACCAACCATATAGTCCCTCCAGGGGTGAGAAAAGCGGTATATAAATACTGTAAATAAATAAATATAGGTGTAACATTGATCCATATGGAGGGAGAAATCTTTTGGAGCAGAGGGGAAATAGACTCTGATTTAGTTCTCTACTACCAACCATATAGGAGTAGCACTGATTCCTATGGAAGGAGAGTCCCTTTGGAGCAGAGGAGAAATGGGCTCTAATTTAGTTCTCGACTACCAATCCTACAGGTGTAACACTGATTTCAAATAGAGATCCTTTGAAGCAGAGGAGAAAAAGGCTCTAATCGATTTGCCCCAAAGAAATGGGAAATTATTGTTTCCATTTGATGTTTGATGTTCTGTTTATGTCTATTATAATAGGCTGTGCTTTTTATTTAATTTTAGTTTGTTAAGTTATAATTCGTATTTATATGTTGGGTTGTATAAATTTTGTTAGTATGGATGTATTGTTGTATTCAGGCATTGAATGTTTGCCTTTTATATTTGGAATTTGCCCTGAGTCCCTTTGGAGAGATAGAGTGGAATATATATAAAGTTTTATTATTATTTTATCTAATTTTGTTCTCTACTACCTACCATATAGGAGTAGCACTGATTCATATGGAGGGAGAGTTCCTTTGGAGCAGAGGAGAAATGGGATCTGATTTAGTTCTCTACTACCAACCCTATAGGGTTGTTTTTTTTGTCGTGTCAGGAGCGACTTGAGAAACTGCAAGTCGCTTCTGGTGTGAAAGAATTGGCCATCTGCAAGGACGTTGCCCAGAGGACGCCTAGATGATTTTATGTTTTTATCATCCTTCTGGGAGGCTTCTCTCATGTCCCCGCATGAGGAGCTGGAGTTGATAGAGGGAGCTTATCCGCCTCTCCCCGGATTCGAACCTGCGACCTGTGGGTCTTCAGTCCTGCCAGCACAGGGGTTTAACTCATTGCGCCACCAGGGGCTCCAAACCCTATAGGTGTAACATTGATTCATATGGAGGGAGAGATCCTATGGAGAAGAGGAGAAATAGGCTCTGATTTTGTTCTCTACTACCAATCATACAGGAGTAACATTGATTCATATGGAGAGGGAGATCCTTTGGAGAAGAGGAGACTTAGGCTCTCATTCTGTTCTCTACTACCAACCCTATAGGTGTAACATTGATTCATAGCGAGAGATAGATCTTTTGGAGAAGAGGAGAAATAGGCTCTGATTTTGTTCTCCACTACCAACCATACAAGAATAACACTGATCCATATGGAGGGAGAGATCCTTTGGCGCAAATGAGAAATATTCTCTGATTTAGTTGATTTAGTTTTCTACTACCAGCCATACAGGTGTAACACTGATTCATATGGAGAGATCCTATGGAGCAATGGGCTCTGATTTAGTTGTCTACTACCAGCCATATAGGTGTAACACTGATTTATAAGGAGGGAGAGATCAATTGGAGCAGATGAGAAATAGGCTCTGATTCTATTCTCGACTACCAACCATACAGGAGTAACACTGGTTCACATGGAGGAGGAGATCCTTTGGAGCAGAGGAGAATTAGGCTCTGATTCTGTCCTCTACTACCAACCATATAGGTGTAATATTGATTCATGTGGAGAGAAAGATCCTTTGGAGCAGAGGCTCTGGTTCTGTTCTCTACTACCAACCATCTAGGAGGAGCACATGGGGGAGATCCTTTGGTGCATATATGTGTAACATTAATTCATATGGAGGGAGAGATCCTTTGGAGCTGAGTCGAATTTGGCTCTTTTTCTATTCTCAACTACCAGCCATATAGATGTAACATTGATTCACATGGAGAAGGAGGTCCTTTGGAGCAGAGGAGAATTAGGCTCTGATTATGGTCTCCCTCCACTACCAACCATATAGAAGTCACATTAATTCATATAGAGGGAGAGATCCTTTGGAGCATAGGCTCTGGTTCTGTTCTCTACTACCAACCATCTAGGAGTAGCATTGATTCATATGAAAGAGAGCACTCCCCTGGAACAGATTCCAATTTTGTCCTCTATTATGAAGCATGTAGGTGTCAATTTTATTTATATGGAAGGGAGCAGAGGAGAAACAGGGCTCCAATCCATATTACCAACCACACAGGTGTAAAAAAATATTCATTTTGGAGGACAGCGAGATCTCTCTGGAGTAGAAGAGAAACGAGCTCCAATTCCCAACCATTTAGGTGTAAGGCTTATTTGTAGTAAGGAGGGAAATCTGGAGCAGAGGAGAAGCAGGCTCCAATCTCAATCTCTCTCCTTCTAGGTTTCCAATGCACTGCTATGGAGGCATGCAAGCACACCCCCGCATGCATCCAGGCCCTCTTTCTTGGCAGGGAGATCCCCATTTTTCCCCCTCCAACAGCACCACTGATGATCCCTTTCCCCTCCAGTTCCATGCATTGAATACATACAGAGGCAAGCAAGGCATGCATGCATCAAGTCCTTCCCCTCCTCCCAAGGCCCCTCTTCAGCTTCCTTTCCATCTCTTAGAAGATCCCCGTTTGTTGGCTTATCCATTGATGAGCTACCCATTGATTATTTCTCTCCCCTCGCCCCCAAATCAAAAGGAAAAAAAGAGAGGAGGGTTACCTTCTTTTTCCTTCCTCCAGGGAACCTGCGCATCGAGGGGGGAATCTGGATCTGGATGGAGGCGGAGGTTAGAAAAGGGAGCCCAGGCAGGCGCGCGCCCTCTTTCCCTCTCGCGCGCGCTCCGGCCGCCTCTCCACCATCTTCACCCTCCTCCTTCCTCCTCCTCCTCCTCTTCTTCCTCCTCCTCCTCCGCAGCCCACCCGCTGGAAAGCCAGCAAGCCCCGCCCCCCCGGCCCCTCCCTGGGCCCGCCCCTCCGGCGCCCGCGTGACTCCCGGGCCTGGCAAGGAGGAGGAGGAGGAGCTGCAAGGCTTGGCGCTGCAAGGAAGGGCATCTCTGCAAACCCAAAGCAAGGCCAGCAAAATGTGGCTGCGGGAGGAAACAGGAGGAAGAGGAGGAGGAGGGACTAGGCCCGCTGACCATCTACACCAGGCATAGCCAAACTTCGGCCCTGCAGGTGTTTTGGACTTCGACTCCCACCATTGCTGTTAGGAATGGTGGGAGTCGAAGTCCAAAACACCTTCAGGGCCGAAGTTTGCCCCAGTGCTGTGGCTTCCTGGGATTTGTAGTTTCATAAGGTCCTTTTTAACCCTTTCTCAAAATAGACTTCAGAATAGGCCCTATCAACGAGAGACCTCTAGGGTTGTATCTATGCTGTAGAGCAGCGTAGGGACATCCGTAGGGAGACCAAGGTGCTTGTTTATAAAGCTATTGTCCTCCCAACCCTGCTATACACCTGCGAGACGTGGACTGTCTACAGACGTCACATGCAACTCCAGGAACAATTCCATCAGTGCTGCCTCCGGAAAATCCTGCAAATCTCTTGGGAAGACAAGCGGACAAATGTCAGCGTGCTGGAAGAAGCAAAGACCACCATCAACTCCATTTGTCCGGCCACGTTGTCCGGATGCCTGGCCACCGTCTCCCAAAGAAGTTGCTCTACTCCGAACTCAAGAATGGAAAATGGAATGTTGGTGGGCAGGAAAAGAGATTTAAAGATGGGCTCAAAGCCAACCTTAAGAATTCTGGCATAGACACAGAGAACTTGGAAGCCCTGGTCCTTGAGTGCTCCAGGTGGAGGTCTACTGTGACCAGCAGTGCTGTAGAATTTGAAGAAGCACGGAAAGAGAAAAACGTGCCAAGAGGAAGGAGTGTCAAGCCAACCCTGACCAAGACCGCCTTCCATCTGGAAGGCAATGCCCTCACTGCAGGAGAACATGCAGGTCAAGAATAGGGCTCCACAGTCACCTGCGGACCCACCGCCAGTACACTGATCCTGGAGGACTATCCTACTTGGACAATAAGGGATCGCCTAAATCAAGAGGAGCATTTCTCAACCTGGGAGTCGGGACCCCAGGGGGAGGTGTCTTGAGGGGTTGTCAAAGAGGTCACCAAAGACCATCAGATAACACAGTATTTTATGTTGTTCATGGGGGTCCTGTGTGGCAAATTTGGCCCAGTTCTATCATTGGTGGGATTCAGAATGCTCTGTAGGTGAACTATAAATCCCAGCAACTACAACTCTCAAATGTCAAGGTCTATTTTCTCCAATTCCACCAGTTTTCACATTTAGGCATATTAAGTATCCGTGCCAAGTTTGATCCAGATCCATCGTTGTTTGAGTCCAGAGTGTTCTCTGGATATAGGTGAACTAAAACTCCAAAACTCAAGGTCAATGCCCACCAAACCCTTCCAGTATTTTCTGTTTGTCATGGGAGTTGTGTGCCAAGCTTGGTTCAATTCCATGGTTGGTGGAGTTCAGAATGCTTCTTGATTGTAGGTGAACTATAAATCCCAGCATCTACAACTCCCAAAAGACAAAATCAATCACCTCCCCAACCCCACCAGTATTCAAATTTTGGGTATTTGTGCCAAATTTGGTCCAGTGAATGAAAATATATCCTGCATATCAGATATTTACATTACTATTCATAACAGTAGTAAAATTACAGTTACGAAGTAGCAATGAAAAGAATGTTATGGTTGGGGGTCACCACAACATGACGAACTGTATTAAGGGGTTGCGGCATTAGGAAGGTTGAGAAACACTGCTGTAGAGATACAGGCCTGGGCAAACTTGGACTCTCTAGGTTTTGGACTTCAACTCTATGTGTGTGTGTGTGTGTGTGTGTGTGTGTGTGTGTGTGTGTGTGTACACACACACATATAATAAAAGTGAAAATATGTATGTGTGTATGTGGCTGGAGTGTCTACTTATAAAGACTAAACTTCTGCCTTCACAAACAGCTATAACACCCAACTACCCAGGACACACCGATGTCCCCCCCCCCTCCAATAATACTGCAGGTTATACTGAGTGCCTAAACATGTGCAAGAGCCCTGCCAATGTCCTCCACAAACATCATACTGCCCACCACCCAAGTGAATGCTTTCATATGGGGGCAATTTCATCCTAGATGTTATGTGTTTCCTCCTCCACAGACATCCCACTGTTTCTTACTCTCTCCATTGGTGTGGAATTTGCATGACCCCACCCGTGGCCTCTCCCTTAACCCTTTCCTATTATTTTATATGGCACACAGCAAACAGGAATTGATCAGCAGCTGAACATACTAGAGGGGAGAATTCACCATGATTTATAGGAGTTGTAGGTACTGGGATATATAGTTCACCTGCAATCAATGAGCACTCTAAATTCCACTAAAGATGGAATCAGACCAAACTTGGCACACATCTTTGGGGGAAGTTCACCTTGATTTGGGTGAGTTGTAGCTTACCTACACCCAGAGAGCACTATGAACCCAAACACCGATGGATCTGGACCAAACTTGGCACACATACCCAACATGCTGAAATTTGATTACTGGAGAGGTTTGGAGGGAAATTGACCTCTCTTTCTGGGAGTTGTAGTTCATCCACTACCAGATAAACTGTGACCCCCACCAGTGATGGAACTGGATCAAACTTGGCACATAGAATGCACATGACTAACTCAACCTACTGGAGGGGTTTGAGGGGACTGACTCACCATAGTGGGAGTTGTGGTTTACCCTACAACCAGAGAGCACACTGAAGCCAACCGATGATGTATCTAGAGCAAATTGTGGTGATCGTTTTGCTGTCTGTGCCCCTGTTCAGCAAATTTCACCTCATTTTCTGTCTGATAATTAGATTTAAAAAACTTTGGCTTGTTGTGGAAACAAATATTTTTTTCCTGTGTAAGGAGCGATTTGAGAAGCTGCAAGTCGCTTCTGGTGTGAGAGAATTGGCTGTCTGGAAGGACGCTGCCCAGGGGATGCCCGGATGTGGAGACCCCTTTTCCCCATGGTGGACTTTTCTTCCTAGAGGCAGATTTCTCTCACTTCCTGTTGTCTCATCCTCATTCTTAACTACTGGTGATTTATTAGTCAGATGTTTGTAACTTAGGGACTGCCTGGGTTAAATATTTAAGAGAAGTTAAAGACTAACACTTCAACTCTATGCATGCTTGTGTAGAAGTCCTACAGTGTTCAGTGAGGTCACTCCTTATAAAGTGTGCATAAGACTGTAGTCTAAAAACTATACAATATCTCAATATACAATATCTCAATATATGTTATTCCCCACAGTCACCTACAGATGTGGGAGCTGGAACATAGGGAAGGCTGAGTGAAGGAAGATAGATGTTTTTGAACTGTGGTGTTGGAGGAAAGTTCTGAGAGTGCCTTGGACGGCAAGAAGATCCAACCAGTCCATACTTCAGGAAATAAAGCCTGACTGCTCATTGGAGGGAAGGATAATAGAGGCAAAGATGAAGTACTTTGGCCACATCATGAGGAGAAAGGAAAGCTTAGAGAAGACAATGATGCTGGGGAAAAGGAAGGAAAAAGGAAGAGGGGCTGACCAAGGGCAAGATGGATGGATGGGATCCTTGAAGTGACTAGATTGACCTTGAAGGAGCTGGGGGTGGTGACGGCAAACAGGGAGCTCTGGCATGGGCTGGTCCATGAGGTCACGAACAGTCGGAAACGACTGAACGAATGAACAACAAATCTCAATATAAAATTAAACGTACAATATTCTCCCTTAAAAACAATTTTCCATAGTGTATACATTAATATTTTGAGGAAAGGTTATATTGTTGCGAGAGCTAAATAAAGTTCAAACCTAGCAGATTAAACCATTATTAAAATACACTTATTATAAGCAAACAAAGTAGAATTAAATCTGTAAACATGCATATTTTGCTACAATGCTGTTCACTGTCAATTTTAATCTTTTTTAGAGGAGAAAAATCCACTCCAGAAAAAAAGCATCTTTGAATTTAAGTTGCACTGAAATTAACAGAACTTGTGCAACCATTTTGTTTCCAAATCAGAGCTTAAGGCTATTGTGCTGTCACACCCAAGGTGCTTTAAATGGCTTTAGTGTTAGCACGTCCTGGCTTTATATCAACTTTGGGGATGCTGGATTGCCTTCCTGTTTGAACAAGGAACCCCACAGAATCAATGTCCATGTTACTGCTTTCAAAAAAATAATAATTTATTAATTGGTCTTGTGGGCCTATCTCTACGTAGGCACTATCTTGATTTCCCCACAACAAAGTCCATACTTAAAGTTTGAAGGTAACTTGTTCTTGAGGTTGCTGGTCATGGATGACTGGAGATGAAGGACAGATGAAAGTTTTAGAGGGGCTTCTGGTGATCAAGGGGATCATGCTAGAGGTAGAGAGCGCAGGTCCCTCCTATTGAGGCCTGACCTCGCTGAAGGTGCTGGAAACTCCATAAACTGTCACTGACCAGAGGTAGGTTAACATAGCCGGATGAGTTCCCAGATTAGTTATTGGCTTGAAATGGCTTGTCAAAGCCTGAATTTCACTGGGACCAACTACAGACACGTCTTGCTTCCAAGATGTCCTGGTGGTAATAACCCTAAGCTAAAGATAGCTCTTTTTCCCTGGGCAAAAGGGCAGGCAAACTTATTGATATAAACCAGGAAGGGTTTTCTTAAGCTCCACCCTCGTAAAACTAACAGAAAAGTGACTATTACAGGAGCAGTCAAACCGCCTGTTCAAACAGCTCCACTGACTGCCAATAAGTTTTCGGTCCCAGTTCAAGGTGCAGATCATCACCTATAAAGCAGTGGTTCTCAACCTGTGGGTCCCCAGATGTTTTGGCCTACAACTCCCAGAAATCCCAGCCAGTTTACCAGCTGTTAGGATTTCTGGGAGTTGAAGGCCAAAACATC